ACTCACTTAATTTAGATGAGCGACGTTGAGTCAACAGCAGTTCAAAATAAAATAAAATCTAAAGATATAAAAATGTGTCACACACATCCACTATTTATACGAAAACTAATAATGCCGATAAGATAAGGCAGATAAATAAAATACAATACATTTCGGTTAAAATCACAGTTTGTTATTGTAATAACAATTCATTATCGACGGTAATGTTAAAAACAACAATTATTATTGATAAATTTCACGAATTTTATTTTATTTATATATACTAGCGACCTCTAAATATATTTAAAATAGGCTAGTTTTTGGTATACATATGTATTTATTTTTGGTAAAGGAACAAAAAAGTGTTTGTGGAGATCAAGCAAAAAACATTTTTTTTTTTTTTTAACCTATATGAATTAGACCACCTTAATGTATATTTACATTATTTATCACTTAATTCACTAGATTTTAATTTGCACGATCATTTAAAAAATATATTTAAAACATAATAATACTGTTAGAGACAAATTAATGTTTAAATTATTGATGATGTTTTATTTTCTCAAAAATAAATATCAAACTATTAGCAAGTTTGAAAGGTACATCTAAGGTATGACTGGGTAGCAATCAGACATAAGTCGTGATAAATTTGAATTGAATAATTAAAAACAAATGTTTGTACTTTTTTCCATCCAGTACACCAATAATCAATATGAAATTCCGAACTAAACATATTAGTTATTTAATTTACAAAATGGATATTTTACTAATGTAAATCTGAAATTGATTTTGTAAAAAAAAATTTAAAATATATTTTGCTATATAACTGTAAATTGTAATTTTTTTTAAAGAATTATTGTATATTTTCAACTTCAATGTGGTATTTCGTAACTAAATTAATTTATATGAATTAATAATATCTTAAATTAATTAAAAAACGCAGATTGGATTCATAAATGAAATAAAAAATAAATAAGCAACGTTATTGTTTTGTATAAATAATTAATTATAGAAATTATCATTTTTATCTCAAATTAATGTGTTTGTTTTCAATATAATGCAGTTATTGTTCTATTTTTTTTTTTTTTAACATAATATTTAACTTCTTTCACCCATCTTTTACCATCTTAAAAAAAATCCAAAATTCAAAACCGCCAAAAACTTTCAAAAATAGCCACTTTATAGAATTACTTATAAGTTACCCAGTGTATCTATATTAATTTATATTTAATTATCTTTAACACGCCATTTTTGTGTGAATATTTTTCCAGGTAACAGTATATAATAAAAATTAAATTTCTTATTTTGTTGTGTGCTCAAGCTGCAGTAGGTACATCAAGAATACACGATATGTGCATAATACCATGCGTATTGCATAGATTTACATACATTTATTATTTATATAATATAACACAATTTAATATATGAAAACGTTGAATGAACAATTTTTGAAATATTTAATTTAAAATATTTTAGGAATAAATGGCACAGACCTATGCATATTGATCTGCATCTGAAAATGCAATAATAAATTTCATTATTTTTTTTCAAAATATTTTAGAATTTATGCTTTGTGATTTGGAGTAATAATATAGGAAAAAATTGACAAAATTTAATATTACTTTACCAATATTATTGCTCGCGGTAAGATTAATATTTTTATTTTTAATAAATCCTTAATTTTTAGGAGAAATTATTTCGGTGGCGATCACTTCTTTAAACGTATTATTAAAATATGACTTCTTTGTACAATTCAACCTTTACTATTTTTCTAACTTTGTTATTATAGAGACAGTTTGTTGTTGCATTTATTTTTATCCTATTATAACATGGAGCATATATTATTATATAGATTAATACAACGACATGCATTTCAACCATTCTTTTCATTAAATACGTCATATTTACTCATATTAAACTTACAAGATATTAGTAACACAATTAATTTTTCTTAACACTATCGATGATTCATAAATTTAAAGTTATATGCAATTTTTCAAATCCATATTAACGCTCTGTTTTATTTATTTGACTCTAATATTTTATTAAATCATGTAAATTTTTCACATTAATTGTTGAATCAGTTGCCGTGTTATTAGTGGTAGCAACTTTTCGGCTCCCCTCGTCCAACAAACGAGACATTGGTTTCACGTAATTCATCAGCATAAAACGTGTTATCGTCAAACTATTCCAGTAAAAGACCTTCATCCCTCATATAAGACCATACGAATGTCAATATATCTTTCGTCTCTAAGGTAGTAAGTCCCACCCGGCTGACTTTTACTCTAGATGACAAAAGACCATTGGTCACGTATACATGTATGCACTCTGATCTGACCCGTGAGTCTGTGTGATATGTTTTCAATCTCTGTACCACAGGACAAATAGTGAGAATTAACAAAATCATTTATTACGATACCATACTGACATATTTTTGAAATCAAAGCCATAGTATAAATTTTTTTTTTTAATTTTAACCTCTCAAGTTTCCCCCTTTATCAAGCATTATATATATATAAGTAAGGTTCGTCATAAATTTTATTGTCATAATGCAATGGCTTAACACGGAATAATATGACTTACTTAGTTTCATAATTTATTTCTATAAACATAAAATTACATTTTTTTAGAAAACCAATCCATATAGGTTTTGAGTAGATTTTAACTCTAAAATTATTTAATCATTAACTATATATATCTATTAATTTGTTTCCCGTTGAATTGCATTCATTAACTATATGAGTTCCAGTAAGATAAAATTGACATAATGTAAAGTTATATGTTCTATGAATATTATTGATGCATTACAGTATAAAAATGATTCAGCAAATAAAATAAAACAGAAAAACATTCTGCGTATATTTATAAACCAATGAATTACTTTATTAGGTTGAATTGTCGATTTTTAACAAAAAACTTTTCGTTTATAGTACATAACATGTATAGTTTTACGTGCTGTAAGAAGAATTATCTTGTGCACTCTAAAATGTACAACAACATTGGTTAGGAAACTGTTCGAAATAAATAATTCATTATATAATATGACTACCAGTTATTTTGATTGCTAGTTAATGTTATTGACAATTTATTATTATTAAACTGTACGATAATTTATTTTTTATCTCTTATCCAATAGGTAAGTCAATTAAAAAAAAAAAAAAAAAAAGAAATAATAAATAAATAAAAATGCCCATCATTTCAATAATTGAAAAAAAATAAATATAATAATAATTATTTATGTTAATAAATCGTTTTTTTATTAATTCAAATGTCTTAATATTTTATGTACAATTCCTTTGGCGATAGGATTATTGCCGATTCATAAACATATATAAAAACCGTGCTGGTAAAGTATGTTCTTTACAGTTAAATTACATCTATTTCATGTCTTAACTTAAATATTTATAACTATGCAGACGTTTTGAACTTTATTTTAATAATGCGCAAAATAATACGCAAAAAATTAAATAATTTATATTGTAAAAACCCTGAAAGTAGCCAGCGCCTACAGGATGGTATCTACTGGAGCTGTCCTAGTGATATCAGGCATTGTTCCGATACACCTGATGGCTAGTGGTTGGTGTGAATTACGGCGGCTTCAAAAAACAGGAGCAATAGACGCACAGTGAACAACGATATTTGGGACCGATGACAACAAGAATGGGACGGAGAAACTAACACCGGTGCGTGGACGAAACGGTTAATACTTGATGTATGCAGGTGGGCAAACCGAGTCTACGGGGTAACTTGCTACCATATGACACAATTCCTAACTGGGCACGGGTGCTTCTGATCATACCTCCACAGATTTGCTCGAGCGGAGTACCCACATTGTGTGTCATGCGGGGACCCGTCAGACGACGCAGAACACACGTTCTTCAGATGCGACAGATGGAAGAAAATGCGCACGACACTAAAGAACGCAATAGGCGAGAATCCAGAATCAATAGTGGGGATTTTGCTAAAATACCGACCAAATTGGCATGCAGTTGAACAGTTCATCACCTCGATTCTAAGTACCAAAGAAAAAGAAGAACAGAGATAAAGGAATCGTCGCAACCAGCACCACATTATAGCACCTACGGAACTTGTAGTATAAAAACGGTTATTTTAATTATTTATCTATTGTATTGTAATCTTGTACACTTTGATGTTGTTATTGTTTCGAATTTATATAAATAAACGATAGCGGACCGGCGGGAATGCAAAGCATAGGCAGTTCTCCCCCGGCTCAACGTTCAAGATAAAAAAAAAAAAAAAGAAAAAAAAAGTAGTAATAGTAGTTAGTAGCTGCGTATAAAAATCGATTTTGTGATATATACTCGTATTTATAAAATGGTATTTAAATACATTTTCAAAGATTAAAAAGTTATGTCTGCTGAAATTAAAAATGAAATACTATACTAATTAATGTTCTTCTCTTCTCTCTCTATAAGATGAACCTAGCAGTTATTGATTTATAACAGTTGTATTAATTGTGATAGTTAAAAAAATCTGAGTGAATAATCAGATAACTCAGTACTTAGGTTAAACGAACGCCACACCAACATTAGTTAACTCTGATTTATAAATGTACAACATATCAAATCTCTGTTCAGTAGAACTAACGTTGAATAGTAAAATTTTAATATTAGAATAAACTGACTGATTAAACATCAAGTTCTTCCCTTCGATGTATGCAAGATGGAGAAAACTTACGTAGGTCTGATTTCCTCTTATACGATTTTTTCGTTAATGAAGAATTATCTATATATTTATTTAACAAGTAAATGTTAAGCATAGACGTAGATATAACTTCATCAGTCGTAAAAATATTTTAAACGCTATTCTGGAAGTCAAACAAATTATTTTCAAACAAAATGGAATTTTCTGTTTTCCGCACACAAGCTTTAAGTTATTCTAAACGGGTCTTACCCAAATCTGAGTTCTACAAGTATTATAATAAAGATACGACTACGTTTTTTCAATGTTGAAGCGAATACGTAGCTTATACGCGCGTCATGTGCACTCATAGCATTCACCTCCAGTTCCCGTGGGTATCATGTCCGACGGCATAGTGGACGTCTCTTCGGTCTCCTCGATGCCCAACACTTGATTAGACGTAGGAGAGTCCAACCATGAAGTACCGTCATCTGGATACGGCGTATCACCATAACTTGAATCCGTAATATTAGCAGTGTCCGCCATTTTCCCTTTAAACCATTTCCCTGCAACGAAAAAAAAAAAATCCTCAAGTGCTACTGTAAACAACACCAGACAAATTAGTGCAATTATGAAATCATTCTAATTGATATCCAGATAAGAAATTAGTTTAATTTAGTTTATCAATGTACGATGAGAAAGAGCGATTCGATTTTCGTTTTTGTTTTCGGATTCACAGTACAGGTAACAATTATAGTCCGATTCTGTCTGATAACAATTGTTTTGTTTCATACGATATACGCAACTTCATGTATATTTTTGTATTCACTATACTTACGGTTATAATGAAAATGGTAATAACATTAACGGAAACATGTTTTTATAAAAGGACAAATTATAATATAATTAATATATCGTTAATTACATTTTTAATAAGCAGTTTTTATAATAGTTTTATTTATAACTCAGTTGATCTGTTGATTGATAATAGGTTAAAAGTTATTGATAGCAAAATTCTATTACATTACATTTATATCAATCCAAAGGCACTATATAAATAAAATATAACGCTACTATATAATAAATACTTTGACTACCAAGTTTATGGTACAACATTTATACAATACTGGCTCTAGAAATGACTATTATTAATTATTATGCACTAAACTGAATACACTGAGTACATAAAATGTTATTATGAAGGCCATATTATATAGTCCTGGTGTGAAATAAAAATAAATTTTTTATATGTAATATCAAATTATAAATTTTTATAAAACGTCATTTCCTGGGAAATAACGACGAATAATATACATAATAGTTGCAATTACAAATGTAACTTATTTGAGATTTTATAAAAACCTTTTTAGATAATAATAATTATTTTAGTAACTTAATATGTATTCCTACTTAACATTCATTACTTACATTCAATGTTATTTAAATGTTAAACGATTTAAAACTATATACTTATACCCTTACCATTGAAAATTATCTAGAATTTATATAAAGCATTACTATCATGTGTTATGTTCAATTATATTATACAGGAAATTATTTCAAAATTATATAAATATCATGTTTTAATAATTACAATGTATAAGATGTTTACATCAAAATCATTTATAAGAAACTTAATAGTTTCTTTAGAAACTTTATAGTTCATAATATAAACTCTTTTTTGTTAAAATGATGATCAAAAGCTAAAAAACCTAATTTATTTTAATCGCTTTCCAGTAATCATCAATCAAAAATACGCACCTATTATAGAAACTGTTCTCAATTTGTATTGTGTTTAGTTATTCAGAGGGGATAATTTGGTTATGAGCCGTGGGATAAAGAATTAACTATATAAGAAAAAAAATTAACTATGTCATTATGTGTTCAGTTATATTCACTCGTCTGTATCTTAACAGTTCAAATCTGAAAGTTATTTTATTAAAAAAATAAAAAAAGTTACAAAAAACTTTAATTTAAAACGAACAATCGTGATTTTAATTTCAATGACTTGAACTCCATTTGAGAAATACCTTTAAAAAGCACTTACACATTTGTACATTGCTTAATTAATATTAATTTATAAAATTCGCAAACACATGAATAACTTTGATACAGAAAGGCAATTTAAAATTTATAATATTAACTATCTCCCCCTGAGGCTCAAAAACCATCAGCAGTAATTGTAGTTTTCTTATTGAACGAATAAGATAAAAATTTAATTTATTTAAATCACCACAGACAATGTCCATTTACAAACATTTGAAAATACTTTGCAAGAGAATATTTGTATGATATGAACTCAAAATTAAATTTCTATGTATAATTAAAATTATTATTATTATTATTGAAAAAAAAATCATTTTATAATTATCATTCAAAAATCGAAAATTGGTAAAGTTTGTAATGATAAATATAATTTTTAAGTAAAAAAAATTTAAAATATTATTTTATCTTCATTTATACTATATACGTATATAAGGGTAGGTGTATACATTGATTAAGTAGATAAATATATAATATCTTTCCAAATTAAAATTAATTATAATATAGAAGATGGTTTGTAATTCGTTATGTGTATTAAGTTAACGTATGAATAATAAGCTTTATGGTGTACTATACTTTTATGTACAGTCCGGTGACCTATGTAAACTCGGGTCACATTGTATTAGTTATAATAATAATGAGCAAATACAATAAAGCCAATGGTATTACTTGATTGTTTTGAAAACATATATTATAAAAAACACAAACGAAACATGTGTGATGAAAAAACTGTTTAACTTTTTCCTTGTACCTATGAAGTCACATTTCTTAAACGATACAACCTCTAGTAAATCCATATTATGTAGAGTAAAATGTTAATAAATCTACAAACTAATGGAAATAAATAATAATTATGTATTGGTAGTGTTACATATATAACTTTTGAGTCAAAAGAATCAATAATTAACAAACGCATCTGTATTGCTTAAATATCTTAAATTGTATTCATACGATATTAAAAATTATATCACATTATCTTAGAAATACTAACATATTTTTTTCCCTACAGTTATTAGAAAAATCCATTCTTAAAAATGTCCTTTAAACATTTGGCTCTTCCGGGAAAACGTAATGTTAGATGTTGCACGTTTCAGCGATAATGAATATCAGTTAATGTTTAAACTCAAGATGATGGTTGGTTCGGAATCGTTGGACTGAAAAACGGCGTAAGTATTATAACAATTAATTAAAACTGACAGAAAATTACGTGACTGTATGTTTTAATTTGCAAATATATGAGTATTATCCGTACTATATGTTATACATATATTATAAAACGCACTTTCATGATACTTGCAATAAATTTAATGTATCAAATAATTTTCATTTCATTTCAATAAAAAAAATGTGTACAATGTCTAAAGTCACATATTTGAATGCATTTAAATGACGTTTTTTTTTTTTTTTTTGTCAAAACATAACTGTTAGTTTGTGTTTGCATGCATGTGTGCATACAAATATAGGTGAATAATTTACATATTGCTGTTGTTTATCGTTTAAAAAATAAATAATCGAATAATTAATTTTTAAATAATTGATGGATAACTCAATAACTTATAATAACAAGAATGCCAAAATAAACAATATTATAATGATTTATTTGAAAAAATAATAACGGGCTTTGAGATTTGTAGTTAATTAAAAAATAATACAAATAAAAATAAATAAATAAAATACTAAAGTTATTCTTTATAATTCCCGAGAACATTAAACAACAAAATTTAAACCGTTGTAATTGTATTTTATAAGTTTTAATAAAATAATAATTTTGTAAAACGATTTTATTTTATAATAAATTAATGGTACACTGTGTAAGTAATTTATCATGTTACTGATATGCATATTCGTTTAAATTAATATTAAATAATTGAAAGTGTATTATCAATAATTAATTAAAAAAAACCAATCAAACTTATTAATATGTAAGATTGTAAGCCGATTGTAAAATCAGCATTAATTATTTTGAAGTATATTATAAATTTATAGCTTAAGTTAGGTATATTGTATTAAATGAGAACTATTTGAGTATGGAAAAAAAAGATCATTATTTTATAAAAATCATAATATATTATATTTGATAATTTGAAAAAATTTCTTCTCATTACGGTGTAAGAGAACTTAAAATCACTATTATATCATAAGATTAACGTCTTCTTATTTTAGAAAAATATTTAGTTTGATGGTTATAACTGTATAATATTGAAAAATATTCAACCATTATGCTTAATATCCAATATTTTTTTTAAATTAAAAACCAAGCAAATATTTTTTTTATAATTATACGTATAAATTACAAGGCATATTTTAAATTTAAGCAAATTGTTCATAGTTAATAATACGATAGTCTAAGCAATGTTTTATAAAAATATTATACTATGACCTAGTTATCTTTTACTAAAAAATATTTTGTTTTAATTTTTTTTTTAATTCGTTGATTGGAAAGTTTTATCATAATTTAATATTTCCAAACACTTTTTATTCCTGTCAATTTTTTGAATATAAAATAATTAATACAAACGTCACTTTTTCGATTATCATCGTTTAATACGATGGGAAATAATAATAATTTATAATGTTCCGTAGACATTTATTATGTATATTACTAACTGTTAAGCGAACTACATAAAACTGTATACTTGAAGTATGGTAATGAGAGGATAAAATCTATTTTTTTGCATTGACAGAATAAAAACTTTATTTCTTTTTAACTATCCGTAATGCGTCATATTCAAAACAATCGTCCGTAAGTTATAAAACGATGAAGAATGTAATGTTTCTTCATCACTTCTCAACTTGACCCACCAAAGTACAAATGCATTATAACGTCGATCTACTGTTCGCACTGTAATAAAATGTACTTAAACAGTTTCCAACTGTAAAGAGTCAAGTTTCTCGAAATGTTAACAATAAATCTTTGAGGAACCAAAAATTCATGTATAACATAATACTATATATAATGAAAATACTAGCTCGTGTTGTTTGTACAGATTTTAATGGGAGTTTGGTGTAAAAATCCATCTCATAATTTATTACGGATCATTATGCCACTGAAATTATTGTTCACACACTTCGGTTGCATCCGAATTGAGTCCCGAATTTGAAATTATTACATTAGTTGAGTCTCGAATTTTTATAAGTACTACACTAGTTCCTGAATATTTTTTGGTTAGTACTATATTATACTAACATTTTCCTTCTCATTTTAACAGACTTAGGACTGTCTATGATCTATTTAGACAACAGGTATGGTTATTAACAGATATTAAAATGTTTTTTATAGTTTTTTTTTTTGTTCTTTAGTTTCTTTTCCATTATTTTTTATTTATATTATATAATGATTTTAACATTTTTAATATTTTTACCAACACAGTTCTAATAATTTATATTTTATAGGAAAATAAACTAAAAACAAAAAAAAATCTATAAAATTTTTTTTTAACCATACCTGTGGTGTAAATAGATCATAGACAGTCCTAAGTCTGTTAAAATGGGGAGGAAAATGTTAGTATAATGTAGTACTTAC